CATTGTGGAGGTTAAAAAAAATAAAAAATAAAAAAAAATAATGATAATAATGATAATAATAATAATAATAAAAGACTTTGATTATAATAAGAGACCAAAAATAAGCAGATTTTTAAACGTATCATTGTTATTTACCTAGGCACATTGCTATCTGCTCGGTAATAAAAAACTGAATGATTTTTCCCTCCAATTGTCACATTTATCATTCGTTTTAATTTCCAAAAATTAAATTCCTAAATTATTTAATTCAGAAAAGTTTGAACTTATTGTTTTAAATTACTGTTTTTACTAGCATAAGCAACGGTTGCTTGATTTACATGAGTTTTCAAATCAAATTTTAAAAATTTGTATCACATATTAAGCAGTAAATTTTAAAATACATTATTATAAGTACTATTTTAAGTGATTTTTAAGTTTCAAAAAAGAAATACAAAAAATTAGCTTGAAATTAATACCATTTCCATAGTATCAATCATAGATCGAAGAAAATCACTGTCTTCTGTAGCCATATAATATTCATAAACCATTGGGATGAACAGAGGTGGTTGTGATCTGCGCAAATAATATACTCGACCACCATTGGGTATAAATCCGATAGTTTTTATCAGATATTCGAAATTGAGAATCATTCGACGAGAAGTTTCTTGCATTCCTAGAATAACTGATAATTTTAGCATTATAATTTGTAGAAGTGGTTTTAATTTCAAGAAGCACCAAAACAGTATTTAAATGTAACCTGAAGCCAGAAGACCTTTGATGACCCAGTAAGTATCCCAATAATAAAATTCTCGAAAACGACCACCTGGAACAACAAATTCGTGTGGAACATACAATAATGAATGCCGTTCTGGATGTTCCATCACCTAAAATAAAATATTTAAATTTTATGTAATTACTATTTCGCTAACTTCAAATTTGTAATAAGTTATTAAACCTCAAATATTACACTTAATTTCCATGGATTAAGCAAATAAATATTCATTAATTTACTGTTATTTCTAAAATTTTAACTTTTATCATTACTTTTTTAATACTAATTGATACGAGAAAATATGAAACGACAATATTTTCAATTTCCATTCTTATTAAAGTCTTTTATAATAATGCTTATAATTATTATAATTACAATGATAATAATAATTATTGATTATTGTATACTATAATTATTATAAATAATTCATCCTTACGTCTTTTTTAATGCTTCGACATAAACTTTTCCAAATAAAATTAACGTTCAGTGCGAACTGGCGTAACTGTGGATCAGATATAGATAATAATTTTTCAGGTTTTTCTTCCCAGTCCACTAATTCACAGCTATAAACGTTATTTTTTTAAAACATAGTCTGAAAATGTAAATTTTAAAAATCTGATAAATCAGTCAACCACTTTTTAAATTGAATTTATTGCAGTTTTTATTTTGCTTTCGTTAATTTGGTTAAAAATTGAGCATAATTATTCAGATTATCGCAATTATCGCATCAAAATAATAATAATAAATTGTTAGGGATTACATGGCGTAACTACTTAATAACTTTATTCGTATTAAAGAAATAAATATTACAAATAAAAAAAATTAAGATTCAGAAATAAACTTTTTCAATCTGTAAAATACATAATTAAGTAAGCTATACGTGGATTTAAAATTTTCATATAAGAAAAATAAATAATTAATTATGTTTCAATCTTAGTCTAACAAGACTAAGTGAAAATAAGTCTTACTCTTCCATTTCATGACCTTCTTCTTCAAAATTTTCTTCAATAAATTTGCGTACAGCTTCACGGTCATTAGCCGTGATATCACCAGGAAATTTTTTTTTGAAGTCAGCTGCTATATCAGCTGGATGGCGTTTTAGAGGTTTATCAACAAACGTTTTAGAATCTTTAAAAATATTCAGCATCATTACTGCATGAAGTAATTCACCTTGACAATATATGATATAATTTGGAGAATGCTTCTCATCACAAGCCCATTCAGGTATTTCTATTACGTTACTTATTACATCTTCGTTACTTGGAATAGCAATATGTTCAACTTCCTGTATTTTAAACTTCTTCCCGTTATTTTTATTAATTCCAGAATCTTCTTTATAAGGTGCAGTACTGCTACCGGTAGCAGTAACATTTCCAGTACTGCTAATTAATGCAGTATTTGTGCTTACACGTTTAAGTAACGCTTTACACGCCATCAAAGCAGTTTCTAAGAAATCAAGCGCTGCTAAGTGTTGTTTCATAAATGGTACTTTTTGCAGTTTTTCCTCGTCTAACCAGTCTAACTTAGCTTTCATATGAATTATTTTTGGTTTGCCATATTCAACCACAGGATCAAACCATTTGCTTACTGTATATTCTTTGATTTCAGACAGTTTTGTTATGATTTGTCTTTGACAAACATATCCCGTAACTAGAATAATAAGTAATAGTAAGACTGCGAGTACTGTAAGGATGAGTTTTCGTTTTGTCCCTCTAAAATTGTATAGCTTTTCAATAACTTTGTAGTAATGTAGACGTGGTAAGCAAGGAATAAAAGCATCAGATGTAAATTGAGGCATTATTATTAGCTTTTTAGAATTATTGCCTAGTATCTGTTTTGCCAAATATTATTAGTAATGATTAGTTTTGTAAAGATGAACCGGATTAATTTTTGCGGCTACTTGTAATTTCGTAAACTGTAGCAACAACATGTAGTTCAATTGTTGCTAATTAATGACTATTAATTAATTAATTAAATTTCAATTTATTATGAACAATAGTGTATGTAACGAAACGCGAATTAGTTTTTAAGTACTACTATGTATTAATTATCCTTAATAGAACAGAAAACCATACTGTATCAGCTGAATCAGCCGCATACAACTGGAATACTTAACAATAAAAATGTCTCATCATTGAATGTTGACATTTATATACTTTTTGCCAGAGATAAAAATAATAATTTTGTCAAAATTATGCAAAAAGTATTTAGAAAGAAAATTTGCATATTTAAAAATTCATGAAATTATTACTTTATTTATTTCTGTTTAGCGAATGCAGAATCGCTAATAAATGACAAAATAATTTAATTTTATGCGTAAAATTTAGTGTTTCAAACGATAAAAATCAAACAAATTGATATCAAAGTTTTAATTCATTTTTTCAATAAAATTAACGATGAACTTTAATTTATATACTAGCAAAAATGATTAAAATCTTTGCATAATTTATCCTCATAAAATTATATTATAATCAAAAATGTTACTAATATGATAATGCTACAGTTACGACTTGATTACTGTTAATACCATTTTTTTTTGTAAACAAATTTTTGATGAATATTTATATCTACAAAATTGTTAAAGTTGAATTTACAAAATTATTAAAGCTGAAAATTTCGAAACTTTTTAAAAAACATAATCAATTCTTTATTAAATAAAACTTTAATAAAATGAAATGCGAAATGATCAGATATTTTTATTGTTAAGTATTCCAGCTACATGCGTCTGATTCAGATAATACAGTACGATTTACTGTTCTATTAAGGATAATTAATACATATACAGTGAATGCTTAATAAGATGAATTAATGTTTTGTCTAGAAGACAAATACTTTTGTAAGCGATCGTTACTTGAATTATCATTATATGCAAAAGTATTCAGTAGTAAGAAATTTGAATACTGATAATAAAGTCCTTTAAATAAATTGTCAG